ATATATATATATATATATAAACAGAATCAAGTCAATAAGATAAAGTGCATTAAACGTTTAGGGTGATGTGAGTTCAAAATGAAAATTACTCAAATGTAATACTGAAACCATTATGTCCGTAATGCTGAAATTAATGAAAAGTAATCAGCATAGTATATATAACAAACTGCAGTCAGTGCTGGCGCGCACGGTGCCTGCTCTTTGTTTTATTATATGGTTTCCTCCCATTTTCCGGATTCACGCAGTAATATTTAGTGACAACTTGCGTGCATTTGTCACACTTCACTGTACAGCACCAGTAAAATTTGCAGTTGCAGCTGCTGACAACCTCAACGCGTTTCTCCACCACTCTGAGGCCGCATTCATAGCACAGTCTGCGGCAGCTCTTTCTCTCCCACAGGGGCATGCCTTTGTCACCCTTCAGGCACTCCCGGCCCTCTGTGCCTTGAAATCCCAGGCTCTGGTTCTTCACGCAGTAATCCGGAGAATCCTCCAGGTAAATGAGCTCCGTCTGGGGGATGCCCCGGAAAGCATGCGCGATGGCTCCTCTGTTGTCCGCGCTGTTCCCAGCCCTCACTGGCTTCTTGTCCAACTCCAGTTTCTTTGCACGTTCGTGCTTCATCTTCAGGTAGTTGCCCACCTCTCTGAAGTCGGCCAGCTGCATCCAGCAGGTTTGGATGCTGCAGCTCCCAGACACTCCGTGACATTTGCAGGCTCTCCTCATGGTAGCTTTGACTGCCTGCCAAGATAGGAAGAGTATTAGTTGAAAAATATAATTAGCAAACGTACACAATTTTTTTTCTTCTGATTTGCACCTATATGTGAAAAATGACTCAAAAACAGAATACTTATACCCTCACCCATTAGTATATTGGTACATTCTTAACTTAAGAGCATAGTCGCTGATAACAAGCGTTTCAGTAATAATAACATCAGATCTTACTAGTCTGCCAGCCTCGTTGTTGTGCAGGTTGACTGCTGCCCGCGAGTCACGTCCATCTTCCAGCGCGTCAACAAACTGTTTTGAGATCTTCTCTCCAAACGCTACATTATCACTACATCCTCCCCAAATCCATCCTTTACCACCTGGGAATTCGAAATGCGCACTTTATTCCACTGTAAAAGGGTATACATTCATTTCAAATAGTTTAGTGTAGTAGTGAAAAGAATCTCACAAAACATATACCTGTCTGCCCGATTCTGGAGTCATCGCAGCCACAGTTGTCAAAGTCCCCCATACTACAGTTCTTGGTGAGCGTGTACATCACTCCAGCTGCGCTGATAGCATGGACAAAAGACGTCTCCCTTGTGGCTGTAATAAATGACAGGAAACCTCGACGTGAAACTTGGCGATCTAATTTGGCACCATAAATAAATCATGTCTGCGCTCAAATGCTGTGCGTAAAAAAAAAACCGTTGTCCTTTCAGCATGTAATTTAAGTTTGTGTTTGTATCCCATATCCAGTGAGGTCAGAGCACACAAGTAGTTACAGCATCATCTCTACCTTGAATGGTTAACTTTGCGCAAGATCATTGAAGCAAAGTGAGTTGCTTTAATTGAACAACACAACCCAGCTGCTGCATCATGCATATGATACAAATACTGTTTGTGGATACAGATGTCTTACCACTTCGAAGGCCGTTGTGTGTGGTTAACTGGAGCGTGCTCTCTGGGCAGTTCCACCTGTCCCACATGAACTGGTGTTTACACTCTTGTATGCCACTCTTTGCGCCCATTTGGACACTGCTGGCATAGGTGAGAAAAGCCTTGGAAGAGAAAAGCAAAGGGCATTGTTATTCATTGTTGCACTTAACAAATAAGAGGCTTTTCCACTTATAAAATCAACTAATTTATTGAATTTGGATGTCCCTGAATATTTACGCACATTAGTTTTCGGGTTAAAAAAAGTTACTTACCTTGGGTCCAGTCATGAGGAAATTATTCACGGTCCTATAGAAAGAAAACAAGACAGCCACGTTAATTCCAGGTCACTACACCACTAGCAAGCACACATTACGTTGTATTATCTTTAAAGTAAGTGACATACCAAGCCAATGCACACTGAAAATGACAGCACATGGACAGAACAATGACTGTAAGAAGAGTCGGTGTTCCCATTGCAGCTGTATTCCAAGCAGTGGTCGGTTTGTTCGTATCCCAGATGTGAGTGCCAAGAAGGAAGAAGACAACTGAAGTTGTGGCTTGACTACACGCTGATGATATTTATATGGTCTTGCTCCATTGATTGACAGATTTGTCCCGCAGGTCACGTTTTACTGTGAAAATGCGTCAACAATGACACTGATTGCTGCGTCCTACAGACAAATAGGAGCCGTCGGTGCATAAGTGCACTTCAAAGAAGTGAGGCAGACAGTTAAACAGCCCCCCCATCCATTCACCTGTCCTTCCCAGGCTTTAATAGCTATACGTTCTCCCACGAACTGAACCATATCAAATTAGTGTATTATCCTATTTGAACATTGCAAATAGGATAAAGCCATATAGTCTGTAATACAGCCATTTATTTTCAGGTTTGTGAAAATATCGGCTTAAGCATAGTTGAGGATATTAAAACGATGCCAGAACAGCAGCATTGTACTCATTAAGGTCACTGTAAAGCAGAGGCCACAAGTATAACAATAACACAGCTCAACTTGGGTTGCCGGAAAAAAATCAAATCAAATAAGTAGGCGTCCTATTAAAGGATATACAGTAGTGAATGCCGCCTCATGTGTATTTATAAACGCTTGGGAAATGGCACCAATGTCTCAGGGATTGACATGACTACAAAGCCATAAAGTCTTTTCAGGAGCTGAGGGTATATAGTGATGTAAATACTGCCTCACACATTGGCGGCATTGGCATCGTCCTGATAATAGGATAATAGATGTTTCCCTGGGAAACAACTTGGTGTGAAAACAGTCTGGAAGTTGCAAGAGTATAAACACATAAGAGCTTTAATGTTTTCACGATTAAATTGTAAGTTAGGATATTGCGTGTGTAATCAGTTTATGTCCTATGGTGGATTAGACTACTAGATTTTTGACCGAGCTATAGATTCACGTTGATCATCATGATAGAAATCTGGGATTATCCAGTAATCACTCTCATCCCATCTTCCCAATCATTGCAACCATCAGCGGCCATCATGTCAGTTTCTGCTATTTCATAGTCATAGTGTAATACCAAGTTAATGATTAACATTGCAGTTTTTAAATCAAATCGCTTAAACCTGTCAAATCCCCTTTAAGACACTCAAAAAATCCCTTAAAACAGCAATTCACTCAGCGCGGCGGACAATAGACGAATGGCTTGGGCGAGGTCGTCCACATTGCAGCCAGGAGAAGGTGTGGATAATTCTTACTAATTAGAGATCACCCTCATTCACTCTGCTGTATGACTGAAACCTGCAGCCCATAATGCATGAGGATTAAAACCACTCTGAGAAGCTTCATAATTTGACTGGAGGGGCCTTTAACGATTTTAATGGGTTAATAACTTGCAGACAATAGTGGTCTGTCCATCTGGGCGTGTTTTTACATGGGCGATAAACATCGAAACTCTCACAGGAGCAAATCACAGGGGCCGTTAAGTGGTATTGAAATCAATGCATTTTTAATTAGCCTATTTGTGGAGGACAATTCAGACATTTGGGCTCACCTGTCACGTTAATCAACAAAGTACCAAACTAAAACGTTAATATTAATATAATTAAGGTACTTCGGTACAGATTTTATTTTTAATGCAAATTTGGATAATGTGTATTGCAGCCCAAAATCTGTTTAGGCAACGCAGTGTTAGGGCCTTTGAATTACACTTAACTTAAAATAACATGGGGTAAAACTTTGCCTTAATTAAATTGTTCTAACAGACAGTTTAGACACATTAGGGCGCACAGAGTGCGTTGATTGGTGATTTAAGGCGGCGCAGGGTGAGAAAAATGGAGCGGTGAAGGACCAGGAGGTGACAAGCTTGACAGGCTGAGGAAGGGTGGCAGGACTGGCGACGCCATTCATTCAACAGCATTCTTCACGGTGCTGGTACTTTTTTCTATCATGTTATTTATTGATAGCATTTTTAATTCAAAACGAAGCCTTTCAAAGGGCTATTTTCATTTAATGGTTGTATTTTTTTTCCGGTGCTTTTCACTTTGCATGAACAGTTATGTTATCACCCATCTCCATCTGACTCCTTCCCCTTCCTTTCACCAGCTGCTAGTTAGCATGCTAGGTCATGTTAGCTTGAGCAAACCCACAACAATGTCTGGGAATCCCACTTCATGGAAGTGTTTTCCCTCTCAGGGCCTCTGAAGTCAGGCTGTTGTTATTTATTTAAAGAGCCCAGATACAAAATATAATAATGACTTGCTTCATTATCATTCATCAGGATTTCGCTATTATTATATAATTGGGGGTGAATAATTTGTTTATTTAGGATTTTTGTGGTTAATGTAGGCTTTTTAAATTTAGTTTTCTGTATATATGCATATGGTCGTGTGTTTAATATTGTCCACCTGAGGTACATTACTGTTATTAAAATATAAAAATTCATGTTGCCAATCCTTGTTCTTATTCTATCCTTAGTAGAGTGCACTAAAATGCCACTCCTGTTTGTGCATTGATCTTAAAATCTGATGAAATCTGACAATGATGTAGGTTTTGTTCAAATGTCATTAGCATCATTCATATATGAGGTGTGAATAGTACAGTTGTATACTGCAGTAATTTGCATACTGTGCAGGCCGACTGCAAGTAGTGTAGACACATCATTTATTGTGTTTATTTCATGGCTCTGCATGATCAGTCTATACATCATGAGTATGTTTGTTATCTGGAAATTAGCACATAGACATAAAGGAGACAACAAAATGCACAGGACTGACCACTTCCATATCTTCATATTTATTTCATAAAGAAAAGTAAAAAGTTTATTAAGAAAACACCTCACATGTTTGGCCTCTGGCTGCTCCCATGGCTGTAGACAGCCCCCTCCTCCCCATAGCCTGGATGCCTGTCTCGCGCTTTGTGCTATATCACTACACCTCTCCACAGTTTGGCAATGTTGGAGACATGTTAGCTATAGGCTAACTGTGCAAGACAAGCACCCAGGCTAAAGTTTTTCCACCCAAGTGGTAAGAGAGCCCCCATGTGAGGATGCCATAAACACTTACAGCACCCTAGGGAGCTCAAGAGCACCCTTTACTGAAGACAAAGCAAGAGATTCAAACACTGTGATAAAATGAAAGTGCGTTTTGCTGTGGCATCTCAGCTTCTTTCTTTAATGTGCTCAGAAGTCAAGGTGTGGCATCACCTTTCCTCTCTTGCTCAATGGCTGGAAGAGAATAGATAAAGACGCGGTTGGTCAGCAGGCTCATGTTGAATGAATATGTGAGAGAATGGTGCCTTTTAATTTGCAGTCTGCCAACAGTGGGTTGCAGCAGTGCATTTCTGGCTGCTCAGCTTTCTGAGCATGTGGTCTTTTGACAGCACAGAAAGTGATGAAGAGCTACTGACAGCATAATTCAACATTGTGAAGAAACACACGCAAACAGGCAAGAGACACTCACTCTCTTTGGTCGGTAGAGGGTTTTTTTCTTTTGTCTCTGTCTTCTTCAGCTTTGTCTTGTCGAAACGGGCGATCTCAGTCATGTCAGGCTTGTCAGACATATTGGCTGTGAAAAATAAGAAATACCTGAGCACAAAAGTTTGACCTTTTCTGTTGGTTATTATATTGACAGCGCAGCATAGGCTAATAGATGCTTATATGCATATAAAGTATTAGATATATGTTTGAAAATGTAGGAGCAGTATATGAAAGGTCATCATGAGAGCTGTCAAAAATTTCTATGCCCCTGACTGATACAGTATTTAAAATAATCTTTGCAGCCGATTTCACATAAAGGGAGTGGCTATGACATGTGCAGCTCAGACATGGATGCCTATGCATGAGGTGGCTGCCACCCACGCATGCTTTGTCTTGATATTCCATGCCCTAAAATGCTTGTGCAGCTAACGTGCCTATTTTTACCCAGCTGTCTGTTCTTTCCTTTGTCTCTGCTTTTCCCTCTGCGTGGCTCAGGTCTTTGTTCTCTCCCTCACCATCTTCTCTCTCTCTCTCTCTCTCTCTGCATCCTCCCCTGCAGCCTCATGGATCCAAGCAATGCTCCACAGGCCCCACTGCAGTCATATTCCGAACCTAGCCTCCGGTCTGACTGATCTGCCTTGTCTGGGGCAGGCACGCTTGTTTGAGCCACTGCTCTGTAACTGACTGCTGTGGAAATGTGACAAGCCCACTAGCCTGCAGCCAGTCATTTACAAAAGAAACTACTGTAAAATCATATACTAGTCTGATTTTGAATGGGCTCTAATGGAATCAGTTTGACATACAGCAGAAACAGACATGCTGGGCTTGTGGCCAGTATTTTTACATTTCCAGTTTTTTGACAAGAGGCACACAGGATTTCTCCATTACTCTGAGTGATGTCTACATTCACCTCTGCCAAGCCTTGACATGAATGACAACAGTCACCTTTTTTCATTTCATCAGTAAAGCTAATCATCCAAACATCCCGTTATTCTTCATTTATCACTGCCATTACCATCACCCCGAACATCCCTCTTTCACATCATTTCACTGCTGCCATCAGCTTCTGCTCAACCAGCCACACCCCAATCCTTTGTCTGACTCCTAGTAAAACACGATCAGAGAGAGACACATAGACACAGACAAATGAAAAACATACTAAAGGACAGATGAGCCTTTCTTACCAGTGTTCCACACAGCAGTGGGCTAAAATCCAGCAGCGGAGGGAGTCAGGAGGGATAGAGACACAGAGCTGGAGAAGGGAGAGCAATAAGGAAGCTGAGTGAATCTGCCGGTGTGTGTACGCCTGCCTACATCCAGGGTGTGGGTATAAAAGGGAAGGAGGGGGAGAGAGAGAGATGGTAGAGAGAGAGTGACTGAGAGCGTGGTCAGCCTGTCGGGGAGGGCGCTGCCATCAATATTAATGTTCCTGAGGAAACAGACTGGAGGAACGCAACCACTGATAGGAAACAGCTGTGCTCTTTGGCTTTTCTGAGATTGTTAAATTACTGAGGTAAAACACTATGTGAATTATACAGTGTTCAGCTGAATGGGTCGGGGAGACACTGCACTAGTTCAAGGAAAGGATTTTGTCTGCTTCTAATCACACTGGTTTATATGAGAATATGTGCTGTGAATCTGTAGAACTTCTATACCTCTATAATATTCCCAGTATGCTGAAAATCTTTCAAAGTGATGTGTATTTGTAAAACTACAAGTCACTGTGCTACAGAAAACCGTATTTATAAATTTAATGTTAATTTTTATAATAATGGAGAAATTGGTAACACATACAACAACATTTACTGTATAGCCTAGCAAGTTTGCAATACTGACTTAGATGGCCCTTATGCAAATACATACAAAACAGCATAAACAATACAATAAAATTACCATAAAACTTACTGATAAACACCAGATAACGCATGATTCACACCTGTTCATACACACAATTAGAGCTGAAATGAATAGTTGATGAGCTGATTAGTCCAGAGAGAGAAAATTAATCAGCAACTATTGTATAACCAGGCAGTTGTTATCTATCTATCTGGTTCCATCTCCTAAATGTAAATATTTGCTGGTTTTCTTAGCCTTTTGTTGTGTCTTTGAATGTTACTGTGTGGCCAGACATTTTTAAGTTTATTTTATTTTATAGACATCTATGGATATTTTATCAAACTAATTGCTCATTGTCATTACATACACTGTCATGAAATATTTTCCAACATTTTTAGCCGGTTATGGTGTGTGCATTGCAGTTGTGATTTACACAGCACTCTGGGTGGTTTTAGCATTACATCTTTTATTTTGTTATTTATCAAGCGAGCAAAGCCCTGATGTGCAGAGCTCATGGTCTGTTTGGTGACATCATGAATCCCACTGGTCTTTGCTCTTTAACCTTAGCAGCATGCTGATGCCAGCTGGTGGGGATATCTATGTCACAGTACACAGCTTACCTCAGAATAGCAAAGTGATAATGAGTCAAAATGACCTCAGCTCCTTGAAATTACACAGTGAGCTAGGCAAGCTGGTGCGCACTAGGTTCTGGTAATCACTATGTGAATATGTGACTTCATATTCCTGGACGACTGGCTTTTACCGGACTGCTCCGCCTCATAAATACTTTCATTAAAACCTCTGAGTGTTCTGTAAGGAGGCTGCAATGCCACCTGCTGGCTGAAGACCCGGACTGCTTCAAGCCATGTGGGTGTGAACAAAATGAGTAATAACATGTAGCCCTAACTGACACTGAGGTTTGCTGAATGCTATGCACATTACCTAATGATCCAGGCTCTGTGGAGCTAATTATATTTCACTGCTCTCCCCTTACTGACTCAGCCTTTCATTTGTATCTTTCCATTGCATTGTTTGTCTCTTTGTGATATTATCATGGGGAATAGACCTTCTCCAGAGTTGAGTGAGGCTTCCTATTAACCTTTCTGTTTGACATGTTAGCATATTTGAAGCTTGGAGACAAGAAAGGTCAAACTTAGCAGTAAATGACCTGTCAGAAAAAGCTGACAACCCACTGCTTGTTGTTGGATGGTAACGGACCGGTAAACCTTTTCTTGGGATCAGGTCTTTGTCTATGCTGTTTGACAATGTTTAGATGAATGATAGTGTCAGTGAACACACTTTGAGCTCATGTCCAACAGCAGCCAGAAGGTGGCAGTCACATGCATTATTAAAAAGCTTGGACATGTCCTCTCATTCAATGTTTTTTAAAATTTATTTGTCTTATTTTATACTGTCTCTATATTAATATTGAGCTTTTTTTTTTTGCAACTGTGCTTGAAACAGCTTTCATACTTTTTGAATGTTTCCAGATTGACTGACTTTCATCTCTCTAAGTAATGAAGTAGTGTTGTTTTCTCCTTACTTGGCTGAGTGGCTCCTTATTTGAGCAGTTACTTATTATAGTTGAACCCTATGTGACTTTTGCTACAGTAGTCTTTGTTAATGCACAGTAAATAGTCATGTTCAAATACAGTGTCAACACAGGATGGCAGCACAGGACTGGTTAAAACTGTCAGGCTGGGAGCTGCGCTGATGTGAACACTGTGTAAGGGACCACGAGGGTGCAGTCATCCCCCAGCACTAACCAGCATAACATCTTGTAACAGCTCAAATCCTAATGCCACTAATGCATTTACAAGAGTAAATAAAAAAAAAAAAAAAAAACTCACACTTTCTTAAACAGTTTCTTCCACACTTGTGTGTTAATAGCAAGGACGGTTTCAAACAAGTTAGTGCAGAGTTTTAGCAAGAAACAACAGGAGGTGATTGACATGAGTGGAGAAGGAGGCTCCTGATTGTCAGTTCAGCAGTGACGTTTCAAGTGAAGAAACATTTTCCATGGTTCATTTGTTGGAATATTTTTTGTTACAGCAGACTGTTCACTTTGAAGCTTAGTCACAGATATTAAAACATTAATTCGAGTTAGGGAGGATGGTAAATGACAAATGGTAAAAGGACCGCACTTACAGTATATAGTACTT